GGAACTCTTCCATAGTGCAGAGGTCTGCATCAATCGATGCAAGAAGTAAGAATTTTTTTTTTCTATTTTGTGTCAAATAGATGGGGCAAAAATAAGCTCTTCCCTTAAAAATACTCTTCTGACCCAAACAAAACTATTCGGAAAATTTAACTGAAACTTCTCATAATTTCAGCCAGAAATAAAACACAGAGAAGTCAGAACACTTCAGCTCTTTTTTTTTTTTTCCCTAATAAAAATTCTATAGAATCAATAAAATCAATAAAAAGTGCTTTCAGAATTGAGCTAAAACCAAAAATCCCTCTTGCTTTAGGTTAAACAAAATATTTTAATCAGCCTCAAATCTGCAGTGTCCTTTTTTCTAACACATAATTATTTTCATGCCTGTGTGATTCTGCTCTAGGTTTCAGCAAGTGAATTGAAAACAGACAAATAAATTAAGCAAGCAATTTACACGGCATTAGTGTCGACAGATTTCTCCATGTTGTTTCAACAGATAAGAAGGCATTGGATTTCAGTCTGGAAAGCGTGGGAACAGCTCTCTCCTGGCCTGCCTGCATTCAGCACCCAGCTAAGGCTCATCTTTAGCTTACGTTTCAAAATGTCTCCTTCACAGCGTCATCAGGTTTTGACACTGTGTCACTGCTGCTGGAGTATTTGCTGCTCCCCATAAAGCTCTCACAGGGGTAGGCAACCACAGAAAAAACATCTTTGACTCAAGTGCTATTGATCCCGAACTTGCTCTGTGCCACGCACACATTTGCTCTCAGGCGTACCAGTGGTAGCCTAGAAACCCATGGGAACCTCAGCCATCTAAACCTAGAGATCAGCCAATGAGAGCACTAGATACTTCAGCTTCAAATGGCAGATGCTTCCAACTGCATCTGTGATGTTGAGGGAAGGGTCTCACCCATGAGCTTAGAGACACATTCATTGCATTTATGTGTCTAACACCAGTTTGGCAATGATAGCTTCCTGGGTGAGCTACAGCATGCAGCCCCACTGCCTCTGTAGTCTACTATATGGGCAGAGTAACAACAGGGGTTCATTATATGAGGGCTGCTTTGAAATTAATGATGATGAGAACACTGAAAAACAGTGTTTTGTGCCTGAGAATTTGCTCTATCAAATAGTGTTATCACGCTCTTTGTATCATTGTAGTTTCCACGGAAATAAATGGGAACTTTCAGACAACCCTATGCACACCAGTTAAGTCTAAATTTCAAGGTTCAGAGAAAAAAATACATTTGTTTCTTATTTTGCACAAGACTGCTTGTCATGTTGATGCTAACTTAAGCCTTTCTTTTACAATTAAGAAATCCTGCTGGCAAAACTAAAACGTTTTGAACAATCATTTATATATAATTACAACACCTACACATCTTCAACATTAAGTCCAGGCCTCAAACTGCAATTATATGAATGCCCATAATTTAAATTAACTATAATTTCATCAATTCCGTAAATCCCTTTGAACAGATCTGCTGCTTGTTGATTTTGTGCCATGTGAAGACATGATAAATATGACATGTACCCTCATCACATGAATAATGTATTATGCATCTTAAGTAAGCCAGTTCTGCTCCAGAGAGAAGCTTAATCCATTCCCTGCTTCTGGGGATGAAAGGAATTAAACTCAGTGCACTGATTTTACAGTTTGTGCTCATTTGACTTTAATTATAAAATGATTATTTCAACCTTTTTTTTCCTGTAAAATAAACCAAGTCTGAGATTCATGTAACCTCTACAGAATTACAGTACTTCTTTGTGCATTTGGTCTTTGCTCATCAACACTGCGCTTTCATTACAGTTAAATGGGAAAGGATAAAAACAACATACTGGGGTTTACAGTTGATACAGCAGTTTCACACCCCACAGTGATGAAAGGTCTTTTTTTTTTTTCATATCTGGTCAAAGAGAGGAACAAAGAAAGGAATCCCCTTAAGTGAATATGCATGTTACAAGAAGGAACCTTCAACAGGCACAGGGAGATGTCACAGTCTTGTGTTACACTGGAAGATTTAGATCATGGATCCTAGAAATATGTATTTACATGCATCTTTTCACAGACTAAACCTGTGGAAAGCAAAGGATAGGATCATTTACCTTTCTTTAAAAAAAGGAGAAATAATAAAAAGAAGATTTCTCCTGGCTGTAATGGCCAGAACATTCCTTGGGAATAAGATGGGACATGTACAGTCCACGTCTCAGGAATGACAGAGCATCAAGTGGCTTGGACAGCTATGCTGTCAAAGGTACTGCCAGGCCTCAAGCTTGAAAATAAGTGCCTTGGGAATGTAATATTGTATCAAGCATATGTCTGGAGGAAATAGCACCGAATGCTTTCCATACAGCATACGCCCTCTTGATTACTGACATTAACTCCTGCTGACATCTCTCCATCCAAGTTTAGAAGAATTTACCAGAGTCACTGTATTGCACCTTCCCTTCCCAAAGTTGTTTAGAGCTGACCTACATACTGTCAGAAGTCAGATCCTGACCCCAAGCAAAACCAAAAGCAGCTGCAATACATTCTGTCTCAACCTAGTGTTACTAGGGAACACAACTGATAGTCCTCTTGCTACCAAAACACTTTGCTGAGATGTGTCTGCATCTGTGGCAAGAGAACCAACAGTGTGGATAGACTGCCCACAGACAAGTAAGAGTAGATGCTATTTAGAAGGCCAAATTTTCTAAGTGCCAGAAAGGATATAAAAGTTCAGGGGATGTTTCCACAAACTTCAGTTAAAACTCCTGAATGTTGGTTACTTCACAAAATACTGCTTAGTTTTATAAAGGTATTCATGCACCTAAATTCACAATATTCCTTGCACTAGAACAGCTACTTGTCAAGACATGAAAACATTATTATTATTATTATTATTATTATTATTTACTATTCCATCACCTCAATGCCATTTATACTTTGGGCTCCTAAGGCAGGGAGTTGCAACAAGGTGTGAAGACAAATGTCTTCACACTACTGAAAAGTGAACGCACAGAAGAACACACAAAACGACAAACAGTGTACCTCACCAAATGCTTGTCAGTGCTGACACTCTGACGTAACTCTGACTCACACACAGCACACACAGAATCACAGAATGGTTTGGGTTGGAAGAGTCCTTTAAGATCCTCCTAGCTCTTACTCCCTGCTACAGGCAGGGACACCTCCCACTAGACCAGGTTGCTCACAGCCCAATCCAGCCTGGCCTCAAGTGCTTTCAGGGAGAGAGCATCCACAACGTCTCTGGGCAACCTGTTCCAGTGTCTCACCATCCTCACAGTAAAGAATTTCTTCCTAATATCTAGTCTAAATCTACCCTCTTCCAAATTAAAACAATTTCCCCTCATCCTGTTGCTACCTGCTCTTGTAAAAAGTCCCCTCCTGGCTTTCCTGCAGGCCCCCTTCAGGTACTATAAGGCCGCTATAAGGTTTCCTTGGAGCCTTCTTTTATACACATATACACTAAAATTCCAGAATGTACAGTTAGTTTTTTAAGAACCCAAAATAAATGGTCACAATGACTATGGAGCATTAGACATTCCTACTCTTATCAAATGGCCTAAAGTAAATTCAACCCATTCAACTTTTATCAAACCTTTTCTTCAAAGAATATGACTGAAAATCTTCAGTTCTCTGTTATCTAAAACCATGAACTTCAGTTTATATTCAGACCACAGCACAAACTATCTATAAATACAGTAACCATACCATAAATGTCAACTATTATGTTCAAGGTGAAAAAATTAACAAGATTGTTATTTTCTTTAATGAAGAGATTTAGTATGCTAAATATTAGTGACGTGATCTACAGAATTATCTGAAGAGGTATCCATATAGACAGTTTAATTCACTGAACAACAATGAACCTTCGTTAGTACTGACTTGAATACAGAAATCTGGTTGGTGTTTATATAATCCTCATAACAATGAATGCACACTGAACACTGTCGTAGATTTTTCTCACAACAATTTTGATTTTCATGATTCGACTGTGAAAATAGCAATCTTTAAATCACAAGGATATTTTATGCAGTCAAAAATATTAATTTTGAGCAATAGTACATCATCAAAACTCTCTAACTCTCTCACTCACGTACACATATATACATTTGCACATAGGGCATCCACACAATCTGTACTTTGGCCCTTCATAAACAATTCAGTTACTGTGATGAGATCTGAGACTGGCAATGATAGAAGTCTGAGCGCCATCCCTTGTATCTATAACCTCTGAGAAGGATGTGTGACTTTGTTCAATAATAAGGCCACAGAGTGCACAGAATATGATGATTATTCATTAGAAGGTGGGCGACATGACCTTAGTTTCTGATTTCTGTTGCCATACATCTTCCCTTCCATTCAGAGGTTACTGCTCTTGAGGTGAGAATGGCAACATCAGTTATTCCGCCTGTGCACAACCTTTGTCAGTGTTCATTTGTTCTCATTAGCTGATCCCTAAATTTTACTTGAGGTGAAAACTCCCTTACATTGCTGCACAGTATATATAATATTGCTGTTCATGGGCATATTGTGCAGATTCATTAGAAGTAATTATAAGACACAGAGGTTTGAATATTCCATTGATCAGCTGGGTTCAGCTCTGTGTGACTGGATGACAGAATCCACAAGGATGATGTATGTATGGCAGAAAACCACACACAGATGTGACTTCTGACAGCATTCAGGATTGGAAGTGTGAGCCAAGCTCCCTATACCATTGAAGACAAATAAAAGAACAGATTTCTCAGGGCCTTTGATGAAAGGGCTGTTGTGATCAACATGTGAAATCTGCTGCAAAAGGCAGATGCAGAGACGTTCCTCATACTAAAGCCCCAGGGAATCTAACTGTAAACTCCTTGCAGTTCCAGTGGAATCTTCCTTACAAATTACCTGTTGGCACATACACTTCATTTGCTTTTTATAACGAGTTTAATTTTGATTAGTATTATCTTGCTGTTCACAAATCACATGTTATAAAAAGCAAAGCAAGTCTTACCTGGAATACTCTGTCTCCTCACAGACAGTGCTCCATCAGGTGTCCTTGTCTGGTTTGCAGACTTTGTGTAAGGACTCTCATCTAAACAGAAACAAGCAAAGTTGCAGTTACTGATAAATACAGTGTTAAAAACAACAGAATTCTTTTTAATCTAATTACTGTGAACTAACAATGCAGATAACAAGAGCTAGATGAGGATGGATATTTCTGAATTCGGACTCAATGCTCAAAGCCATGTCTAGCCTAAAAGATAATGGCTCTGAATAACAGAGCTGAAAAGGATGAGGTAAAGCTCAGATCAGAGATAATGGTTTGTTGATGACAGGCTAGATATACAAAGTATACAAAGCCCTTTTCAGTTTTGAAGTAAATGTAGAAACTTTCATTTTCCTCACGTTAAGTAGCTTCATGTGTCAAAGACTCCAGTGAGAGAGGGACCTTCCCTATTCAGAAGTATTTCCAGAACCTTTTGGATATTGTGACTGTAGAGATGCTCTCCTTTTCTTTTGGGATCTGCCACAGGACTCTTCATTTTCCATAGTTAACAACTGATTGGAGAGAACATCAGAAAGCAGCTGCCCAATAGGCCAAGCACACTTACACTGAAGTACAGCACTGCGGCTGCCCGTGTTTAAGCAGGGAGGCTCTGTTCACCAAATGGTCAACATGGAGGCATCAGAGGATGCTGTTGGTGGGCCAAGCTGTCTATTACAGACAGAAGTGAGACACTTGTGCATCCCTCCTGGGAGCAGGGTGACATAGTCACATAGTAGCTTTAAAAATGACAAGCTATAAGCTTGGTAAAGAAATGCGCATTCAAGAGAAGAAACAGTAGCGTAGATTTTATTACTTCAGCCAAAGGAAAGGAATCGCAAGAAATTAGGCTCTGTCTTGCTTGTGCTTTAATCAAGCACTCAAACACTTTAAAGCACTATCACATCCTTCTATTTACTTATTTTTCCTTCATGGACCAATCAGTTTACAGCATGTGCACGAATGTGGATATAGTAACAAGAAAGCTGAATGAGGTTTTTGTTTTATTTTAAAGGCAAAACATTTTTGCAAGGCCACATACGTTGACATAAATGCAGCAAGCAATGAAGATCATATACTGGTGAAATATCTCAAGAGACGTATCATTGTCTTTTCTACAAAAAATGAACTGCCATTGCTTTGGGATTATATTGTTACAAGGAGAGAGCTAACAGGCTTGGCTATACTGCATGTTAATACAAGCTTGAAGAAAATAAAGCTGTCAGCTACCTGATGTATAGAAGAATGAAAGAATATTAGCACAGACACAGCACACAAGTTAAGAAAAAGGCAGACATCTAAATGGAAAATCTAATACTGTAACATATGCAGTATATATATATCCTTATGGAAGTTAGAAAGAGAAAGAAAAAATGAAAGAAGCGAACAAGAGCTTCTAAAGGAAGCAGGATCATCTCTTTTTTGCCACAGAAGAGGCACAGCTGAGCTAAAACTCAAGCTAGGGTCTCCAAATAGTGTTACTAGCTCCTATCAATACCAAAAATTGAGATCATCAATAACACGACTGAGATGTCACATGTATTATTATTCATTCACAAGCTCTGAACGTGACAGCAGATATTGTAAGACATGCATTTTTCTGTTCAAAAAAGGGGCAGGAAACATAATCTAATTTCTCAGTAACTGATGGATGGTGATGATTTTTGGGCCCTATTTGCATGTGTGCCCTCCTTGTGAAAAATCTATCAGCTCATGGAACAAACAGCTTTCTCCTAGTCAGACTTTGTACATTTGCATTATTTTTGTCAGATTGGAGAGAGGGTAGAAAGGAGAGATGCACATCCACAACTAGACCTTTTTCACTGAATCTTTGTCAGAAGCAAATGAATAAATCAGCTGCAATCTTTTGCTGGAATAGAATTTTCCCCAAATTGTACTACACTGCGAGTATACGCGGTTGTCCCGAGTTCACAAAAAAGGACAAGCCTGCAAATCTTTCTGGTTAATGGCACCAGGGAGGGCAGATGAGTGTGCATTCAAATTACTTGCAAGGGAGCAGGCACAAAAGTCTAGTATTTTGCACTGGCAGGTACAAAAGATAGCTGAGACTTTGTTTGAGGCCACTAGCATTTAGGTTTAGCATTGAAAACTTGTCAGGTATTCCTGTGGTTTATGTGCTGTTAGATACTGTAGGGATGTAATTATGTTACATTTTTTAACCTGTCTATAGATTTTCACAGCAAACAAAGAGGCATAAAAGATTGCTTCATAAACTTTTGAACCCCATTAACACAAAATATGTCCAATTATTATAGAGCATAAATGAGTCATTGCCTCACTGGTGGATGGGGAAGTTTCATTTTCTGGAATTCCCCAAGACAGGAAAGAATCATCTTTCAATGCCCATCTAAGAGTAAAATCACACTGTCAAATAATGGGAAATCACTGTACAGAACTCGCAGGAACAAAGGAAAACAAATATAACCACCTGAAGAAGGAACAAAAGCAGCACCATTATTTGAGGCAGAAGAGTAATATGAATACAGATGCAGAAGTAGATACCATCGTAAAGAACAGAATATAGTAAAGAGACAACAAAGCTTTGGTAGCCCTGAAATGCCAGACACCATCACGCTGTCAGGAAAGGAAGAAATCTGTTAGTCTGCATTAGCAAAGTTGTTTGTATGGCAACAAGAATTTACAAATCAAATCATAATTTATGCCCCATCTGTGGAGGGAACAGTCTTTGGCAGGGAGGATTTTTGCAAACATGCAAAAATGTCTCCTGGTATCACTGCTTAGAGGGATTTCTTCGAGTGCTTTGTAATTCCAGCTTCACCCTCTACAGCACGGACTCCCTGGAGAAGAAACTCAACCCAGTAAGCCAACACACTAAAAAAGCAAAGGAGAACAGCAACTTGGAATTAGGTAAAGGTGAGATACATGTAAGAAGCCACCTATACAAAGCGAGGAGGAAATAGGATACATTCAAAAGCATAAATCTCAGCTAGCTACACCCCTAGTACTAAAATAACCTGATCACCAGTGGGGAGAGGGCTACAGTCTGTGACAAACCTTCAGGCTGAGCAGCCTTTCTGCTGGATGCCAAAGCCCTGGCTGGGGCCAGCACATGGAAAACTCTCCATGTCTGCCCGCTCCTACAGGAATTGCACAGCCGGGGTCTGTGCTTTCAATCTTGCAAACAGCATAACTATGTGGATACAGTCTTGGAACTGCATTAGTTACACCACTCACTTTTTTTCTCCCCATTTCTTTTGCCTAAGGAATTAAACAGGCCAGAGTAACCAATTCCTAGTAGTCAGTCAGTCATATCAAGAAGACTGCTATGCCAGCAGATCTCTTTGCCTAGTGACTGCAGGAAAACAAACCTTCTCACCCTGCTATCAGGTGAGCTCATTTTCCCCTACAATTCCTAGTTCGTGTATTTTCTGTAGTTGTAAATGTACAATAGTGAACAAGTTGCCTGCTGTGCTGATTCCCCCAGTTCCTGCTGCAATGCCTTCCAGTTACTGAGATCCTGAACCAGAAAAGTGAAATCTTCACCCTGGTTTCTCTTTATGCTCATCCTCATGAATGCAACAGCTCCAACTACAAGTAACAGTGGCTAACATATTATATTATCTTTCCAAAGCTCCACACACAGTTCTTCTAATTAAAGACTGTAAAGATAACGATCAGGTGAATAGATAAGCAGTTCCATTGCTTGCAGTTACTTCTATAGGCTTACTGCTTTTACCTACTGCCTGTGAGGCAGATAAACAACTCTTTGCGCTTTCCTGCCTGTTTTTAACCAGCTGGCACCTCTCCTCATAATTGAATGATTCATTCTTCAAGTTAGGGACCATGCCGTGACCTCTTTATACCATTCTGCATTGCTCCTACTGCACAGGGGGACCTCTATCTAAGACTAAGGAATCTATACACTGTAGCAAACCCACAGTAATGTAATCCTATAAAGATGATATATGTGTGCATTGTCCAATGTATAAGTGCTTGGGGCTGCGCTAGTAAAACGACCATTTGTAATCTTTAGATATTTGCTATATTCAGTTTAATATCCCTTGAACGATATTAACTGGGGACACATAAGAGGGAACAAGGAAAGTCTAAAGATATTTCCTCATGAGCCAAGTCCAGGCATTCAGTGTATCAGGAGGTTTATGATCACTGGAACATTTGCGTGTCCCTCAAGAGGGCTGTGAAAGCTATCGACACAAGAATGCTGTTTACAATTGTGGTAGAGGCTACAAGCACTCTCCCTGTGCCGATCTCACAACTGCTTGGAGGACTGGAGGAGGCACATCCAGGCGGTAACAACTGTACCCAAAAAACATGCCCACATCATCTGCTGCATAATTCTCATTTTTCAACAACTTTCTTATTTATGTCATGTTATGAGATAAGCTGTACTTCGGCCAAGGAAGAACTGTTTTTAGAGTTTAACCATGGGTTTCATAAGCAGATTTCAGAACTCAAGCAAGTAAAACGTGAGATGCTGCATATATGCTCCTCATTGTTCCTTTTTTAAGCATCTGCAATTAATGTGAGTCCCAAGACTTGACAAGAAAGTACACTACACCTTCAGCTTGCTCAGTGTACTGGAGAAGTATGATTGCCTACATGAGTTGTTGCTTGCACTCCTTATGATAGCAGAGATCTACACTAGCAAAGAATCACGTACCTACCCAGAGGATGGCAACATACCAAGTTGTAAAGATGATGATTATGGCTGAGAGAACATCCTTGAGATTAGTTTATCAAAAATTAAAGTACCAGTGTCCCATGTACTGCTTCAGGCATTCCTACATCTGCAATACCACATTCACACTTGAATCTTCCGTATAAAGAAATTACTATATCCACTTCTGAATAAAGAATAATATTTTTCATTAAAAGCAATATATATATAATATATAATATATTATATATAATATAATATTATATATATAATATATAATACATAATATATGAACCCTGCTTGTACAGCAGAAATTATCTTAGGTTCCCATACTTTAGGTATCTGAAACATAACCTAAATGCCACCTTTAAATGGTATAAGCCTAGCATTCTCTAAAAGCATTATTTCTGGCTTAGCATCATACCTGTGATAGCTGGTAAATTCTGAGTTGCAGCATTCTTTGCTATCCCCACATTTTGCAGCTGGAAGCTTTCACAGATAAAAATAAACACATAGCCACTGATGTCTGTAGTTGATAGAAGTTTAAAATTTGAGAGGCATTCATAGAATCATTCTTCTAAACTCAGATGTTGGAATAAAGACTCAAGTCCCAGTCTCACACTTACAGATGAGTACCCAAGTTCCCAGCTTCACTATCATTCCATCTCTCTCTCTCTCTGATGAGTATTTTAAGTATGTCACATGAAGTAAACGTAAAAACTCTTCCACAATCAATTTGGAGACTTGTAGTGGATGAGGCAGAAGAGAAAATCTGAACTCAAGATCCCCTCAGTAGCCCAATCGCTAAAAAGGTATAAAAAGCAAAGTCACCAGGATCATTCGAAGAACACCTTTGATCTCACATAAGCTCATCTCTTCAATCTCAGTTCTTTGTTTCCGGCAAAAATGCTTAAATATATTTTTTCTGTTCTGCTAAAAATTCTGGAAAATGTAAATTTTCAGGTAAATCTACAGCAATGGGAAGGAAAAAAAAAAAATCATAAGGGAAGCTGGAACTTAGTCAACAAGTTCTACTATTCACATTGCCCCATGGCTTCCAATCACAGTTAGAAGATAAATACCAATACGAAATTCTTTGAAAAAATTAACTGACAATATCTGGCAGCTGAATTATATGAAGAATAATACTACTTCAAGCACAAAAGGTCACTGAGTGTCCCAAAACTCTGATGAGTTTTACAGCAAATTGAGGTATAATTTTGTTCTAAGTTGAACACGCTTGAGAGGATAAAGCAAACAAAATTTTCTAGAAAGGGGAGAGCACTGGAATTTTCCTTTGGCTCTGATGGGAGATCTAGCACAAATACTTTTCGCTTGGTGTAACGTCATCCTTAGAAACTGCTATTGACAACAACTGAGAAAAAATATATTGGAATGTGTCTTTTCCTGTAAATGAAGAACATTCTAAAAGATGTGCTTTTACCTGATGCAAAAGTCTAAAGAAAAATTAACATCCTGGAATGTTCACGGTTACCAGGATGTCGCTCCTGCTGCATCAAAGTGGAATGGACTACTAACAGTTGCAAAAAGAGAGAAAATTAGCTAAGTTCTTTCAGTACATGTATAATGCACGGATTTTGAATGCATACGCTTCATGAAACATCAAAATGTCAACAATCTTCTTTGCCCGTATGCTAATCCTTGCATACTTATTACGGGAGCTCCAACCATGAAAGAAAGCATTAATTGCTTCTACTGGTGCAGAGGAATAACAATTTTTCAAGTTCCTTTTACAGCTATGGCTTCAGTCACTGCCAATGAGACTGGATATTTCAAATGGCAATGCCACTTTCCAAAGTAATGATTAGAAATATTGAAAATTTCCTACGAGCTGTATGTAACAGTCATTAACAAACTAGGCTCCAAGTAGGACAAATATGAATGTATTTAATCTTAATCCTTTCTAATCAAACTCTCTGCTCAGTGCACTCCAGCACTCTTTATTAAGAAAACATAGGGTTTCAAGTGATTCCGTAAGTAGCACAGAATTATGAGAAGGATGAGTTATTATTGCTGCTCTGGTAATTTCCTTTCCTATACTTAGACGACTATCCCTTCATTTTCCCACAAACTTAATTTAACAGTTATAGCAACCAATGAATGAGTGTGTTGTCTCTCTGAAGTGAAAATTTATTCAATTTTATTATACTTTATGTAAATCTAATTATCTGTTTTCTGAATTATACAATTACTTATCATAGCAGCAGCTCAGTTTTAATCTAGAAGCAGAAGTAGGGCGCTGTAACTGTGCATAACTGTGAAACCATTTCCTCAAGATATTTACAACACCTCATCAAGCTTGATGGCTTGAAAAATGATCTAAATATCCTCTAAGTTTGCTTGTCTGCAGTTAATTTCCTAAGCCTGTGCTTAGATACCTGAGCGGAAATACTCAGTCTCCTAACTGGCATCCAAAACACACAATATCTGCGTACTGCTGAAAATGTGTCCCTAGAGATATTAGCACATGGTGAGATTCACTTCAGTGGATTGTCAAATGAAGAATTCAATGTAAACAATACCTCAACCACAAACTACTTCAAATCTGACAAGTATGTCTTTTTGTTTATACAGCACCAAGTATTTGTTCAGGGACTAAATGGAACGCCATTAAGCAATCATTACTGAATCATTATGTGATTTTAGGATTCAGTGCAAGTTTCTTTCATTGTCTTGAGCTTCTGTTTATTGTTTATGGAAATTGTATCGTCATTACACATTGGTGAAATGCGGGTGGCTTAATCAGAGCTGATAGAAACTGAAAAAGTTGAAAAATTTTAAAGGCTTGAAGAAAATAAGGAAATTACTTCAGCTCTGAGACAGCTCAGGATTTTTCTGTGCATATAACTTTTGTAGATACTCTTACGCTACATGATGGGGCTGTAAGCCGTTCCATTTAAGAGGAGCAGATCCAAAGCGATGCAGATCTTGCTGACAGGGAATGCTTCCAGATATTCAAGCTACACTTTCTGTTCTGAACATCTCATGGTTCGCTGAGAGTGGCATCTTGGCTCTAGAAAGGTTTTCTGGTCCTTTCTGTTTGTGCGGTTGGGAGCATCAAATCTCACCGCATGCTGGCATTGTGTGAAGCAGATCAAAACATATCAACTCTCTGGAAAAACATATCTGAAAACTTTTCTTCATGATTATTAAGATATTAGATTACTTTGTTTAATTTAGTGATAAATTTAATTACATTGTTCAGAAATGCTAAATCAGCATCCCTTATAAATCTGCACCAAATCTCAGAGAGAAGCACCAATGCCAAATAGATGATAAAAATTCTCACAGGTCTCCTTGAGAAGGGGGTTGGGTAAAGGAGTATGACCTGGACCAAGGCCAAAGGCCAGAAAACCAGACTGCATTAAGGACACACCTCACAGGAAACTTTTAAGAACATATACTTTTGAAGCATAACAGTGACCTTAATGCTACCTTTTAGCCTCTGCCCTTGATTCAGCTACCCTTGCACACAGGGTTTTATTGCGCTGGGAAGCCAGTAAATGCTGATTGCAGGGAAAAGGGCCATGCCTTGTGTCTCTGTGCTAATGCCCTGCAGCTCAGACACCATGCTCCTGGCTGCTGTAGTTGTCCGCTGCCATACCTCTCACAGAGAAGGGGCAACCAGCTTCCTGGCAGGCAGCACTGCATATTAACCAAAGATGACATGTGGCATGATCTGCTATTACATCTGTGGATAAATTCAACCAGAAAAAAATATTTACTGGTCATTTGAACTGTGTATATCCTGTATGACATGACCACTCTGCCAGCAGATGTAACAGTAACTTTCTGGTTCATCAGCTGTCCCCGTGCTTCCTTAGTCTTGGCAGAGGTCTTCCCTTCAAACTGACTGCTTGAAACTTAAAAAAAAGAAGTTATGTTTGGAACTGCTATTAGATCCTTTTGAAGCTTTCTGACTTTTTTTCCCTTGAGGGAAATAAAATGTTATATTCCTTCTTTGCATCAGTACATATATGGATAATAATCTTCTAGGTGTACTCACAGGAAACATACCTACCACCTTCTACCCATGCAGACCACAGTGTAAAGCAGAAGAGAAATAGCTGTGCAGGCTGCCAGCACTGCAGTGGTCTGAGATGGCTGGGAAACAAGGATATCAGCAAGGACCTTCTACACTGTGGA